AGATCCTGGAACAGGGTAATGGTGGGGACTATAAGATTAACCGGTTTTAAGATGAAGCTCAATAAACTTGTGAATGGGATTAGGTGACAGGATGCCTGTGAAATCGCTAGACTCATTTGCCCAGAAAGGATGTTTGTGGGGTTTTGCCTTAGTGATGAAGTGGAGAAAGGGCTGTTGAGTGTCATGGGCACCATTTAAGGTCAACACTCTTACGTGGAAGTTGTGCCACCAGGCAGTATCCACAGAAATGGACGATACCTTGGAGTAAGCGTTCAAAGTTCATTTTCCTTGGTAGAGGAGAGTATCACATCGCTGGCAATTTATCACATGAAAATATTCATATTTTTTTTCATTTCAACTTTAAGTACTGAAGTCTTTTTCACTTGCAAAATTGCTTAGGGGCTCTGCTGGAGGTTTGATACATTTTGGAACTCTGCAAATGCACAAGTTGGTCATAGTGTGTATTCGTGGAGCTTGTATTTGCCAATATGACTTGTTTGCACAGAATGAAATATTCGGCAGGGCATAAGAGATAAAAACTGAATTTCCCTTTCTCAAAGTAATATGGGAGTTAGGCTGCATTACAGAGCTTAAATTACACTGATTCTCCTCCAGGGTTGGAATAAAATTTTCAAAATCACCTCTAATCTGTGAAGAATCTAAACCATATGGAAATCTTCCTAATTCCCCTGGGTGGTTTTGACACTCTTACCAATATGTCTTAGAATATTTTGGTTTTTCTTGGTGCAACAATCTCAGGTCCAGGTGCGAAATTTTTCAGTAATAAAATAGTTACACCACTTAACTTTATAGCGTTGGTAAATTTGTATCAATATGGGAATATAAATACTAATAGATAATAATATAATAATCCTTGTGAGTTGTACTAGTTTTGATTATGTCAGTGCAGTTCATGGTGTCATTTACCTACGTACAAAGACCCCTTTAGCTCCTGCTCCTTGCTTAAAAATGAGTCATCGGTTCAGAAGAGAGTTAGGACTTTTCAAATGTTTTTCCTTTGGGCAGAGAAACAGCTTCTTTGGAGCTGTGCCTCTGAGAAGCCAAGATCGCTGTGATGTTTTACTAGACCTTTCGAAGTACTGATACAGCATTTTTTTGGAGCTCATCACCCATAGCAATCATTCAGCCCTGTGGCTCATATCCTATTTTTGAAAAGCCATTTCCTTTCGGTGCACATGTCTTTTCCCTGTGTTTATATGAAGCAGTCAATGGGCCTTTCAGCCGTAAGGATCAGAATGAAATGAAATAAATTACTTCCAAAGATAGGAAACCATTTCACACCTTGGAGCCTCATTTTGCTTCAGATGTAGCATGTTACAGCTCATGCCAGTTAGAGCCGATTATAAACCAGCTGACCTGTCGCGACACTTAAAATCTTGGTAGGATTTGCACTTTGCCTGCAAGCCGACACTCCGTTTTCATCCTGTTTGGGTTTGGAGCTGTAGCTGCGAATGAGGTGATTGCCCTGGAGTAATGATTAAAATGGGTTTTCACTCACTCTACTGTTACGAAGAGGTGTATTGATACATGCGTTCAGTTGTAAATACTCTGGGGTTCCGTAAGAAATACAGTTCCTGCTAGCATTTGAAAAGATGAATTTAGGTTGGACACAACCAGATACAGAGTGTTTACATTAATTCTGTGGGTTTTTTAAGGGAGTGGTAGCCTTTAGTTATAGACACTCTTATTACCACATCTATTCCAAGGGTTTTCTCACACTGCTTCATTCTGGAGGAACTATTTTGATTCAAAAACAACTTTTAATTGACTTTTTATCTTTCAGTGTAGAACGTGTTTGTGATACATTGCCAGGCAAGCAGCCTGCAGAGAAGTGTAATTCTTCTCTCAGGACTCTGAGTGTGTTGATGGCGGTTGATACTCATTTGTATTTGTTTACCTCAAAAAATGCTAATCCAGACTGAGTTTTAGAGTTTTCTGATTGGGATGGGGAAGGAGGTGAAATTTTGTTATGTTGAATATTGTATTTACAGCCTTTTAATACACAAGTGGTGATTTTGGAAGCATATGAAAAACATATTTGGGAAAGAAGGTAACAATATATGTACAGTAACGTCCGAATGTAGAGTTTCAATCCTAGCAGGGACCTGGGCACCAGGAGGATCGAAGCTTTGCTGTAGTGAGTGCCGCCTACTTGCAGTGTGCTCTGTGCCTCACTTTTCCCATCTACAAAATAGAGCTCATAAATCTTGCCATCATTTACATAGTGTTTTGATATCAGGTTTCTCTCTGAGTCTGAAGTAACATTAATTATTAGTCGTGGGACTGCTGTTTGCCTTTGATTTCTCCCCACCTCCATATTGCCATGTATGCAGCCCCTTCTTTGGGAAGGAGGACAGGCTAAACCACCCTCGCTGAGATTACTCCATCGCCTCTGATGGTGCAGCATGAAGCCATTCATTTCTCTACTCTGGAGTCTAAAGTCTCTGAACTTTATTAGCCCAAGGGAGTGGTAGGCCCAAGCGTGCTCCGAAATGCCGATCTCCTGTTTTGATAACTGAGCTCCAAAATCAAGATAAACAAGCTGCCCTATATACTGAACATGTCCTAATTGCACACTTGAAGCAAACAAGCCAATCGATGAGTGTGTGTCGCCCGCTAATGAATATTTGTAGTTTTGGAAGGTTTCATACGCGATGTTCCATGTAGCTTCTGCAGTTATTAGCAAAGTTGCTTCAAAGACCCTCCTCAGGAGGAGAACTTGCCTTTATCTAGGCAAGAAACTGCGTAATTTAATTTCATATATTAGCTGAGCATGGTCACTCATTCAAACTGTATTAGCTAATACTTCTTTAAAACTGTTTACACTGTGTGCAAAGTTGAGTTAGCTAATACATTTCCTAGTCTAGACTCAGGGAGGGTTGACTCCCTGAAGATCTCATAGCAGGACTTTGTTTACTTGCAGGTAGAAGAGAGAGGCAGAGAAACAAGGAGTAATGATGTTTGAAACTGTCCAAATGACTTTTGCTGTGCCAAATGTTTTGCTGTCTTGTCCCTCTCCTCGATTTTCTAACTGCTAAGATTTTTTTTTTTTATTGAGAGTTGGCTCTCAAGTCCTAAGGGTGACCTTTGCAAACCGTGGGAGTTTTGCCACCAAGCAGGGTGTTCAGCGCTGAGAGCCAGGGCTCTCTGTGGAAGCAGTGGAAGGAGGAAGGCACAGAATAAGCATCTGAGTTGGAGTGGCCAGTCTGGCAGGAGGCCCAGGGAGCCACACACTAAAGACTTTCATTGAACCAGAAACGCACCATGGTCATTCAAGAGCCAAAGAGAAGTGGGAGATAACAGTGGGTTTTCAGATGTACCCCCGCTAACAGGAGAAAGAGACTGGATTTGACGTGTAGGTTGCTCCCAGGATGACCTAATAATATGACTTCCTACTGCAAGTCACAGACATAAATGTTGTCTGTACTTCTGACTCACAGTCTAGCACCTTACTGACACATACAGAGCCCGAGCTTCCAGATTAGGTACCTGAAGCAATCACTAGGACATCAGATGATTGGAACATCTTCAGTGTTGCTGATAGAAAATCATCTAACACCTTTAGATTCTGCTCCACTCTTAAGTTTCTAACCTTCCTTGGTTTTGTTTTTCTTCCCCTAGTCACTCATAGTAGGTCTCGGAAGGTAGGTGTGATGCTACAGTTGGCAGGGAAGGCAGGAATACCAAACCCACTGCTCTGTTTCCATTTACCAAGTCTGTTTTTTACTATAACTTGCCATAGTTCTGACTTAGTAGTGCACGTGACATATCTTGGGAGAAAACCACCACTATCTCAGCCAAACATTAAATACGGTGTAATTCCAAACCTTTCTGAAATGATGGCTTGGATTATTGTCTTGAAATGCAGACAGTGTCCCCAGTCGTCGTGGTACTGCCCTTTGAATATTGTAAGAGAGCTGCAGTAAATTCTAAAGTTGAATGTAAAATTCTCATTGATGGTGGAGCTGGACTTTCCTGATTTTCAGGAGTTGTTGGAATTTGATTTCCGTCATGGTTTTCCTACTGATGTTTTTGGGTTTTACTTTCTTAAGATCTCCTCTCTGGAATGTCTAACCTTTCTCTTAAATCTTCTTCTTCCTACAGTCACATCACAAATCAATTGCACTCCCACAGTTACCATTCAGATATAAATAAGTTAGTTAAATGATTTACCAAAATGTGGTAAAACAAATAGACCTATTCTGTGTTTTGTTTGAGGTTTGGGGGTTTTTTTGTTGTTTTCTAAAACATCCTTTTGCTTCTCTTTATGTTTCTAATCTAGAGCCTTATAGTAAGGGCTTTTTCTGCCTTGTCCATTAAATTGCATGCACATCAATAGCACTGTGTATCAACGTGGGGTCCTCTACGTATTCCCCCTTCCTGGGCAAGATTATTCTATACTGTGTATTTACTAGAGCTACATCCTGTCTACTTCAGCTACTCGACTAAGTAGCAATATTTTAACTGCTGAGTATATAGTGTGCGTCATTTATTTGTCCTGACTAGATCCACTGCTGATTTCATAAACATTTGGGGAAAGAAATAGCAAACTAGCAAATATTTGGAGAACCCCCTAATGCAGAATCTTAAGAGGATGGTATCGTCTCTCAGTTTGAAGATTAAAATCAGTGCTGTTCACAGCTGATTAACTTTCCTTTCTTATATTTCCCACAAATTGAGCTAATGCAATAAAACTTAACGAAACAAGGTTTAGCAAAGCCGCAGAGAATATTTATATGGCAGAAAGCTATAAAGTGGTTCAGGCTGTCCTGGCGTTCACTTTGTAATGGCTCTGTGCTTTATCATGTCCAAAGGATGGGTGTAGCAATGAAACCCTCCTTGTGTTGGGTTCAGACAGCCTCTGCTGACTCAAAGGTGATGTGAATTAGCTGCTCTGTGTTTTCTTTATATCTAGTAGGTGATCGATCACTTCTTTCTTTCTCATCAACTCCAACCAGTTCTCCTTTTTGGTCCTTCAGAGTCATCAGCAAAGTGGTACCAGCTCCAGAGGCCAAACCTTCTACTCCTGTGAGCCGGCCCAAAACACCTCCGCCCGTGCCGTCACCGGTCCCAGCTCCTGTTCATGTCACCCCTCCTCCAGCTCCAGCTCCTCCTCCTCCACAGGCTACTGTCTCACCAGTCCTGATCCCATCACCCTCTCCAGCTGTCTCGGCAGCAGGAGGCTCCAAAGCTCCGGTTAGGAGCGTGGTGACCGAGACCGTCAGTACTTATGTGGTGAGTAACACACACTGCCGTGCTTTGTCCCGGTGCCAGTGACCTTCATTTCTTGAATTGTTGAGCTCCTGGGTGACTCATCATCTCAAACTGATGGTTACGTGGACTTGTGATGTTGCTCTCTATTAAGCTACTCTTTATCCAGCCCTTGCTTCCATGCGTGTGTTTTGACAGGTTAATAACTTAATCAAAACACTACTACTTGGACTGAATTTTTTCTTTGTTCCAATTTCAGTGTTTAAGTTTCTTCTAACAAGTCCATTTATATCCCATTTGGTATTTTCTGCTACCTTAGGTAGAGCATTTTATTTTAGGAAGTGGAGATGTTTTTATAGATGCTTTCATAAGTTCTGAATTGAAACCTCAAATGTCAAACTCGCCATAGATTTTGCTGTCAGTCAGGTAAAGTACAAAACCCTCATGCAACATCAAGAATTTGACATAGCCCTCATTTGAAATGTGGAGAGTCCTCTTTTCTGGGTTCCTCAACACACAGAAATTGCAAATGTTTGTGCATCTCAGAAAGTCTGTAGGTAGTTCATTAGTCTACAGCCCATTAGTCTGTTTGACATATGCTCTGAACTTGGCTTCTGTCTGGTAGCATTAAGCCTTACTCATTCTTTTACAAAAGTCTCCCATCTAACATGGTGTAGGAACTACAGTCTCTAAAAGATCATGGATATATATCTGGGCAGGACTAGGATTGCTGCGCCACTGAACATTTTTGCTTTAGATGCAATGTAAAATGGAAGTCCTGACCCTTTCTGCTCGTTGCAGAGCACCAGATGCCATTAACAGCAGTAGCAGTGGTGTTATCCTCCTTGTCCTGGCTAAGTTCCAGCTTGGTGGTGACACCTTGCTTATCTCTAGTGGGTAGCAGTTTAAAACTCTCACCATTTAAAACACCTAAAACTTGCCTTTATTACAGAGTTTCCTGTGCTTTAATTGCAACATATACATGATTTTTCTCTTTTTAATTCCTGGTTCTAGAATGATTCCTAGTGTAAATCTACCCTGCCGTTTCTAATGGAAAAGGTGCTCTTCCCCGCTGGACTTAAACTGTTGTATCATGTTACTGGTCTCTGTTTAAACAGCTGCTACATTTCAGTCCCGAGTTAGTTACAGCACTAGACGACCTCACATAGGCTGTGCGTATCTTTAGAGTGCTGGATACGCATCCTCACCTTCTGTGTCACGGGCGTAAATGCCGTGTCACGTATTACAGTAGCGCCCAGAAGGTTGGAAATTCACTCTAAGAAAGAAACATTTCCAAAATGCTCTACTACATCCCATTTTCTTCAGTAAGCGTTAAAATCAAATAATTTAGAGATTATGTTAAGGTTGCCTAGGTACTTCTAGTAATACTGTTAGCACCTTATGGAGGTACATCAGAGGACATGTAGACTCCAGGTTCTGTCTTTCTTTTACAACATTATAGTTGTAACCAGGGCTTTGCAGCATTAGGATCAAACATGCAGAGAGACTCCTGATGCAAGACATTTGTAAGTCAAAAAGCTGAGAGAGAGGCTGGGGAAGAAGGGAATAATTAAGAACTATTAGCCTGTTGTATGAAGGGAATCCAGGACACAGAATGATGAAATGGCTTTCCCTGGGTCGCACAGGAAAGCTCTTCTAGAGATAAGATTGGAGCCATTGTGACAGGGGTGTGCATCTCCCTTCTGCAGGGGAGGACAGGGGGATGATTTTATAGTTTACATGGAAAACATACGATGTGGGATCTTCCTGCAGGATAGCATCTCAGTAAGTGTTCTCTGATCATTAACTCTCAGCGGTTTGTACTAAAATAGTACTCAGCAATCACATACTGTCCCTCCTTCCACGACCCTTGGCTCATTAGGGAATGAGAAGTTATGCAATATTTTTAACATCCTCATTCAGCAGCCCAAGATCTTGTTTAACAAAAAGGCAGAAGTTTCAGTGATTATAGACCACTCTGCCCTTCTCCAGCCCCTGAAAGCCTGAGACAAGTATTGTGCAGACAAAAACATCCCCCCTGAGAAACTAAGTTTGGGAAAGTTAGGGTATCTCTTGTAATGGGGCAACATTACAGAATTACAGAATGGTCTAGGTTGGAGAAGACCTTGAAGATCATCCAGTCCAACCATTAACCCAACACTGACAGTTCCCAACTACACCAGATCCCTCAGCCCTGGGTCAACCCGACTCTTAAACCCCTCCAGGGATGGGGACTCCACCACCTCCCTGGGCAGCCCATTCCAACGCCTAACAAGCCATTTAACATCCGTCAGTGCTGCCTACACCTGGCACCTCCAGTGCCCTGATCCACCAAGTGCTGGTGCCGTGCTGGAGGACGGTGCTGGTGCAGCTGGATTGCTCAGGCAGGTTGTGAAGGGCTGTAGGTGTCAGCCCAGCAGCCCACAGCATTGCTTCTCTGCAGCGCCGTGGCACAGCATCCTCTCCTTCCCCAGAAGAAATCCTAGAGTGGTTTGGGTTGGAGGGGACCTAACGATCATCTAGTCCCAACCCCCCTGCCATGGGCAGGGACACCTTCCACTAGCCCAGGTTGCCCAAAGCCCCGTCCAACCTGGCCTTGAACCCTTCCGAATGACTATGGACCTTTTCATGCCAGGTGCAGACAGTTTCCCTGCAGAACAGATGCTTCTCTACCAACTTAAAATGACTTTGCAGATGTGAGATTAGATGCATAGATAGGAATGTTTATTGCAATCAGTCAGCTTTAAAATTAAGTTCATTTTATCATGTCGTCTACTCCATATCGCTGTTGGGAAGGGAATTACTCCCTGCTTAATATTCCCGGGCTTTGTATTTTCTAGTTTTAAGTGACAAAAAAATGCAGGGCTTTAAGAAGAGTCAGTCAAGACGTGCTGGTTGCAGCTCTGGTATATTCCTATTGATTTTTCAGGATATGGTGTAAGATGTACAGACCACCGTGTAGTGGCTTTTTCTAAAAGTATTTTGGGCTCTCCATCTACTATTTTTAATACCATTTTTTAAGCTGTATAAATAGCAAAATGTTATCACCTTAGCTATGTGTAAATGCACAAGAGCCAAGAACGAAAGAGTTTATATTTTTGAGATTCAGCGATAATATGCAAATCTTCATAAAGAAGCGATGAAATCAGGGTAATGCCCCAGACATTTTGTACTTTGTATTGTTAAATGCGCTTCTTTGGGTGGATTTCATGACGGTTTGCATGTATGTTTTTACCCAAGAGCTGTAAAAGAAACCACTATGAAATATAAAAATACAAATAATGGGTCTAGCAGGATATCAACATAAAAGAAAATCCTAAAGCTCTGAATATGATAAATCCAGTGAGCAGCTGCCGAATACTGTAAATGATCTGCCTTTCTTGTTTCGTTTACCCTTTAGTAAATTGTACTGTGACATAAATGTCATAAGGGGAATGGAAAGTTACTCAGTAACAACTTTTTTTATATCCTGATCTTATCAGCTAGTTGAAGTTGAAGACTTTGGCTAATAAGTAATACGGCAATATATAGACCTGGCGCTGTATATTTTACATGCATACAGGACTGTTATCTTACGCAGGGGGCTGCCGTTGCTCATTCCTGCCATTAACAGGGTCGAATTTAAAAAGTCCCCGATAGTATAGACAGAGGAGGAATTGTGTCCTTAAGCCTTGGCTGCTATATGTGAATGCTTGTGCTTAGGTCGGGTGGTATAACTGGCTTTACTGGTTTACAGGACAATACAGAAAAATGCGTGCTTTTGTTGTCATGTACAGTATACAAAAATCAATTAAACATAACACAACGCACTTATGGTCGGAGAATTCATAAATAACAACAGTGGCCGCTGAACGGTTTTGTTGAATAAGCAATAAACTACTTTTTTTTTTTTTTTTAATATCAATTTTGCTGCCTGCTTAGCCCTGAAAACCAGCTAACTTTCCTTTTCTTTGCACCAGATCCGAGATGAGTGGGGTAACCAGATCTGGATCTGTCCTGGCTGTAACAAGCCAGATGATGGCAGTCCAATGATAGGTTGTGATGACTGCGATGATTGGTATCACTGGTAAGTTGCTCTCATCCATCCTGTTCTTCTGTTCCCTGGCAGATTGTGGCTATGTTATTAAAACCTCTTTTTTTTAATTTTTTTTTTTCCGGTGGTTCATGATGCTGGGAATATTTGAATGGCTTTGCTATGTCCGATTTAATAATCTAGAAGATATTTTTTTCTCTGTTTCTCTGGAATTTGAAAAAGCAGTTTTTAAGCTGTGAAGGAGAGTTACTTTTTAATTAATGGGCATTGGTGATAACAGTTGTTTTTGAAACTGCTGGGAAATATTGCTGACACCGGTAATTTTGTGAGAACTACAGGATTATGAGCACAGTGTATACAGATAGACATTTCAAATTATGAAGCATTGTATGAACAGTAATATAAACGTCAGCTCTTATAAAAGGGTTGGAGGGAATTAATCACTTTTTAGGCTTTTTCTTAAACAGCTACATAAAATCATGTGGTTTTTTGCAGATGTGTTGAAGAAGCATTCGAAATTATTTTAAAACTAGCCTATTATACCTGAAAGAGAGTTCATATTTTCTGTTAAAATAACATTTCTTATCTGAGTGTCCTTTAGATATTTTTTTTTTGTTTCAAAGCAAGTGATTTTTAGGTTTCTGTTTGATCACTATATTCATTAAGATAATGATAATATAATTGTTGTATTAATTTGAAGGCCAGATCCTGTCTCCCAGTGAAAAGTTTCCCCTTTTTTTGGGTAAGAAACAAAAGTAACGTTACTCCACTGAGATGATACGATATTTTCCCGTCCTTCACAGGCCTTGCGTTGGGATTACGACCGCACCCCCAGAAGAGATACAATGGTTCTGCTCCAAGTGTGCCAACAAAAAGAAGGATAAAAAACACAAGAAGAGGAAGCACAGGGCGCACTGAAGACTTCTTCAGCGGACTGAAGTCGTGCTGTCGCCGTGGCACCTTCTGCCCTGACTCGGTTGCAGGGGGGATCCAGCCTGCTCGTGTCTCACCCTCCTCACCGGCTGTTAGGGTTACGGCTGGAGGGAATCGGGGGCGAGGAGATGCTCTCTGTCAGGGACTGATGCGTTTCGCAGACCATCCGAGCCCGGGGGGTTGGATTTTGGTACATCCTGATGCTGTCTTTCACCTACCGAGGGAAATTTGCACAGCACACTATGAAGACTTCGGTAGTTCATGGTACCGCTCCCGCTCCTGTGGCTCGGCAGCAACAAAGATGAATGTTGTAAATACATCTATCTGTCCTATTCTTTCTCAATTTGTTATTATTCCCTCTTGGACCTTTGCAGTAAGGTGCTGAGAGGAGGAGAAAATGTAAATTGCAGTAAGTTGTAAACTGAGGAGACCTTCTGGAATGATTTCTGTAGTCGGGATACAGTTCAGCCTCGACTCCTGCTGAGCCAGATAATCATAATGTGGAAATAAAAAGTGGCTGGTAAATATTTTTGTGATGAGAATATATGAAGCTTTTTTCCTTGATTTTTAGTACTAACATGAAATAAAACACATTCAAGCTTTTGTGATATATCTTCTATTTTTAAAACAGAAAAAAGTTTCTATTGTGTCAATTCTTTTCTTCCGTGTGAATTTATTTTGGTGGACCTGTAATATATTTTATACTTTGTTTTTTTGTTTTTTAGTCTTTGTCAGTGTACCTTTTCATTGCTTGTACATTTCGTTGGTGTGTAAAAACACTTCCCATTAAAAGATTTTCACACGTGTAAATACCTGATATTTATAAAGTAACTTTTTTTTTTTTAATTAATTTTTTAGGGCTTGAGGATTTTTGTTTTTGTTTGCCGGAGAATACAAACCTAGCAGCTATTAAAAGCCCGTGCGACGTACGCCTGTCCTTATGGCTTTAAGGGATTGGCGAGATCTGCCCCAGTGGTGCGTGCACGCGGAGTCGGCCAGCACCATAATTAGGCCTCGGTTCAGATACTTAAACATGTGGTAACTTCTTAAGGAGTGAGTAATCCTATTGCCTTCAAGGAGCCTGTTCCCACACTTGGTTATACATGTGCTTAAATGCCTTCTGAATTGAGAGCTTAGGCCAAGGGACTCTGCGCTCTTAATGGCAGTGACAGCGTGTTAATCTGTAGCTGGAACTGACTTTTGTTTTCTTTTTTCCTTTTTTTTTTTTTTTTAAAAAAAAAAAAAAAAAACCAAGTGGTGATGAGTTTGTCAGAACAATCGGGCTCATGTTTAGGTGAAGGAGATGCAGAATGGCGTCGAGGCCAGAAGATGCATTGCTCTGCTTTGTGTATCCTTCTGGAAAGACCAATAAAGTGAATATGAGTTTTACTCCCCGCTGAGAATGAGGGGAGAAATTGCCTAGAAGAAAAAGTCAGTATTAGATATTGTAGTGCAGTGAGTCTCGGAGCTAAATAAAATATAAGACTCCACCTGGAAAAAAATTTATACCTTCTGTTTCCAAAACGATTTCGGACTTCACTGGTTAATTTGGGGATATTCTTACTTTAAACCATAGAGAGAAACATTTGATGTTTGAGACTACGGCCTTTTAACCTGTGGTGCAGATACGAAGAGTTATTTTTTAAATGCATCCAAATTGATATTAATGAGAATGAATTAGTCATGTTTTTAAAAGTACCAGTCTAGTTAGGGAAATGAGACTTTGCTGATAGAACTGTTAAATTGCAAATCAGTGGAGATATGGATGAAATTGGTTTATTAAAAGTGCACTGTTACCTTCTTTGTTCAATGCCACCTCATTTATATTCTGTCCCTGCTAATAACCAGTCAAGAAAGTTCTTGAGTTTGATTCTTTTATTTTATTTTGAATTATTGGATGTTGCAAACCTGATTATTGTGTTTTTTTCCCACGTGTAATGTGCAGACATACGTAATACACAGTCTTTGGTCATTTCTGGTTGCAATAATAAAGAACTAACTTTTGGTAAGTTGTTTTATCCATTTCCTCTTCCCCTCCATTAATCAGAACTTCTCACATTTAATCAACGAAATTACTGAAGGTGTCATGGCAGGGCCAGACTTTGCTGTTTGATGGCTGTGCAGCTGTATCTGTGCATGCTTGTGCATTGCTGCCACCGGGTTGGTTTCCTACCCTGGGTTTTATGATTTTATAAATGACCCCTGTGGCAATAAAACCAAAGCATCATTTTCAGGAGGCTTGTGTGGCTGACGGGATTAGTAACGGGAGAAGAGGCCCTTCACCTCCGGGTCATCGGTTTGAAGCCAGCCTTGGTCCGTAGCCGTGCAGAGCTTGCCTCCCCTTTCACTTAACACTGGTGTGTGTCAGGAATCGGTGGTGTAAGAGAATAATCAGCTTCCAAAAATAGTTACCCCAGAGCAGCCATGTGGCATGGACCTTCCTTACAGCCCCTCGTACCACCCTACAGCGAGCAAGCCCAGCTGTCTCCCCAGATGGTTGTATTTGCTGCCATAACTTCACGGGTTGTGTTTCTTCTCCATGAACTCTGCCAGAGTTAGGGCTGCTCCCTTGATTCGCTGCTTGGTTTTATGGTTGGGCATTTGTGTTCCTCTGAATCCTTTTATGATTTGGGTTTTGGGCACTGCTGTCTGTGGGAAGAAGGGCACGGCGGGTGGGTTGCAGGTTGGTTTGCTCGTTGGATGTCATGGGAGAGCATCGCTCTCTGAATGGTTTTCCTGCCTTGGAAGGCAGCTTCATCCAAGAGGAAAGGCCGTTGTTTCCACAGGTAGTTGGAGTAGAACTTGTTAAAAGTTTAGAAAGTAAAGAATTAAAAGAGTTTTCAGTGAGGAGAGGACTCACCATCTGCCAGCAGGATAAGGAGAAGACGGTTTTCCCCCTTTACTCACATACTATACATAGTGGTTTTAAGCAGTACAGCAAGTACTGGTAGCAAATATTCAAGAAAAGAGCGTAAAAACTATTCCGTGAGAAAAGCTTGTTGAATCCTGCCTTTACTCTGGGGCCAGATTATTATCTGGAGTCAGTTGGGAGTCAGTTGGAGCTGTGTCAGTTTACACCAGCCCAGGAGCTGCCCACTCGTGCGGCCGATGTTGGGGCTGGGGAGCAGCTCCGTTTATTGTGAAATGAGGCGGGTTTCTTTATCCTTTTTATCCTGCAAATCCTCCTGTAGGGCAGCCTGTGCCTGCAGGTCGCTGGAGTAGACAGCAGTGTTTGCTGCAAAGTGTGTTAGTCATTAGGCAAAATTGCAACTGGTTAATGAGTTTTGTGCCCAGAAAAATCTATGATGTTCATATCAAGACAGTAAGCACAAAGCTCAGAAGTAGAAGAAACCATCTTGACTACGAATTTTTATTGGAGGGCAGAGATATAAATGCAGAGCATCCATCCCCAGAGTAATGGGGATGCACTTTTCCTGAGATAATCTTCCTTCAGGGCTGTATGTCGTGCTCAAAGCATCATTTCTCTGCTTGACAAGGTGTTTCTCTTCTGAAGGTGTCCGCAGCTAAGTACAGTGAGGATCTTTATGCTCTGCAACTGATTTGTGATTCCAAATGTCCTGGAAGAGAAAGGGAATAAAAACCCCTGAATCAGAGGGTATCAGAGCCTGCTGACTTTGTCTGGGCTTTCCAGAGATAAAATATAGTGTATTACTTCACTGTATCACCTAAACCTTCTTTGTTCTCCTTTCAATAGGACGATTAAACAAAGACCTACTAACCAAATTAAAGTATAAAATGAACGCTGAGATATGGAAACCTTGCCAGGAAGAATGTTAATGAATGAAGTTCACTAAAGGCATGCTGGCTAAGTTTTCAATACAAATAGTTTTATGGCCAATCTCTTTAGATCATAGCAGTTTTCTTTAGAAGTTTTAAGTCTCAAAAGTAGATGAGTTTCCTTCGCCAGGGAATGAATTAGATAATGCTCTGAATAAACTCCCTCTTCGCAGTCTTGTCAGTCATGCTACTTAGGAAACTCTCCCTTTCTTCTGGGGACTTTTGGATCAGCTGTAACCTAAAAAGTAGAAAGCTGCTATTAATCCATGTGTGCTGTATGGCAGAGGAGGCTGTAACGGGAGCTTTGCAGCCAGCAAACAGCTCGTACCTGGCTGATGTGAGCAGAAGCCTGTCAAGGTGAGCTATGGCAGCTGATCCTGGTGTGCTTTCCCTCAAAGGTGCCGTTTCAGCCTGTTTTAAGATTTGCACCGGCTGAAGGGGGGACAGACTTTTTAACAGAGCCTGTAGCTCTATTAAAGGGGTAATCTTTTTAAACTAAAGGAGGGTAGATTGAGACTAGGTATAAGGAAGAAATTTTTTATGATGAGGGGGATGAGGCCCTGGCAGAGGTTTCCCAGAGAAGCTGTGGCTGCCCCCTCCCTGGAAGGGTTCAAGGCCAGGTTGGACGGGGCTTTGGGCAACCTGGGCTAGTGGAAGGTGGCCCTGCCCATGGCACAGGGGTTGGGACTAGATGGGCTTTAAGGTCCCTTCCAACCCAAACCATCCTGTGATTCTAAGATTCAGCTCTTTGTGCTTACAGAGTGACCTTTTGCACCAGGACTTTAAATCCTCTGATGTTATCCAGAGGGAGAGAGGAGAGCTGGGGGCTGCCAGACCACCATGCCCCCTTTTCCCACTCCCCCTTGGCGGTCTCCTCCTTAATTTTCCTTCCAGCCCTTGTTTGCTCCAGAGACCCTGACCCTTAACTCAGGTTTCTGGTGGCCAGTGCCAAAACCACAGCAGCTCAGTGACTGTTGGCTGCCTCGAACAAATGGGGACTAACATTGAAATGCGGCAGCAACAATCAGGTGCTGATAGTTGAGATTTAGTGGAATATTGCTGCCTCGATCTATGACCAAGGAGGCCAATTTTTCAAAAAGCAGAATGTCAAGTAAACCCAGGATGGGTGGAAGATCTTCAACGTATTTTTTAAAACACGAGGAGAAAATCTTTTCTAATGAATACACAGCTTCTGGTGGTGTTCTCAGTGTCAGGATTCCCATAAGGACTTTGGAACAGACTTATAAAACCAAACAGAATATAATTAGATTATTTTATTGCCTAAACGAGGAGATGAGAGAGAAAGTGACTTAGAACACATTTACAAAAATTTAGGTTTCATCACCTGTCACAAGTAGAAATCTGGTTTATAAATTAGAATGTCTTGCCTGTCAATTCGTCCCTAAGCCAGTGTGGTTTTGACAACTTACTGTGCCTGTCATTTGCTTACTGTGGGACTAATGATAAGTGTGATGGGGTGTCACCGTCCCACCACCCTGGTGTCACACAGGGCCTCCAGCACTGCTGCTGCTGCTTAGTTGCCTGCAGGAGACCTTCAGTCTTCTTCCTTCACCATCTTCTGATCCCTCCCCAAATGGGGGACTGGGCACTATTTGCTGTGGATTTGTAAAATTTGGCATCCAAATATTAAAAAAAAAAAACAGAACCATTTTTTTTTCCCATATGCAGAAACAAATTAGGAAATAGGGGCAGAGAATAGTGTGCAATTGTTTATTTTTAATCGAGATGTCATTTCCAGCACTTTTCTAATAAGTGCTGTAGTGAGCGTCAGGTTTAGGGTATGCATCTGCT